TTATTAATATCCTAATTAAGATAAAGTATGTCGAATGAAAAAGGGATTATTAAAAAATATTATTTCTCATAAAAAAATAATGTTGATCCATACACTTTTCAATATGACATAGCAATATAAAGTTAAAAATGTAAAAAATAAAATCGAGAATTTTCATACAAAAATAGAATTCGGTAGCTATTTTCACCGTGAAGACAAAATAAAGTCCGAAATATTTTTATTCCATCATAAGGTATATTACATTAGCTTTAATTTAAGTTATATATAAAAGTGTCAGACTTTCCGGAACATTTTCAAAAGTTAAGTTGAAAAAGTAAATTTTTTGTGAAAAAGTTGTCATTTTATATCCCTTTTCTGTGGACAAGTAAAAGGATNAAAAAGTTGTCATTTTAAATCCCTTTTCTGTGGACAAGTAAAAGGATTGGAACTGAATGGTTTTAATTGTTTATATGGAAAATAAGAGCTAAGTAACTTTTTAATTGATAAATTTGGAAATTTTTTCAATTTTTGAGTGTAATTTCTTTAACTAGATAATAGTTGTGATCATTTGATGTATCGTTAAAAATAGTTTGTCAAATGATAGCTGAGAAAATAAATGAGAGCTACAAAAAAACAAAAATCACATAATACGATAGTTTTAATAAGAATAAGAAATTTCATCAAACGAGGGGATACTATAATGATGGGGTCCTCGATATTCATTGAAGTCATTGAATCTAAATGAGAATTAATACCTTTTTTAAGGTATTTTATAATAAAATAAAATACAAAATCGGGAATTTTCACACAAAAATAGCATTTGGTAGACATTTTCACCACGAAGATAAGTCCAGAAGTCAATTTTTTTTTCATGATAATGTATATTACATTAGCTTCAATTTAAGATATATATATAAAAGTGTCAGACTTTCAGGAACATTTTCAAAAGTCAAGTTGAAAAAGTTGATTTTTTGTGAAAAAGTTGCCATTTTAAATCCTCCCTGTGGGCAGGTAAAGGGTCAGATTAATAAAAAAATATACCAAATGATAGGTAAAGACTTCAAGCATCTATAAAAAAAATTATATTGATTTGGTTATTTTTAAAAAAAATATGGCAATTTTAAGTAAAAAAAATTGAAAAAATTAGCGATTTTTAAATTTGTAATTTTTTGTAGGGTAATATCTTCGAATAGATACGATTTGTTATTTTTTGACGTATCGTTGAAAGATATCCATTCAGCGATAGCTGAGAAAAAGTGATAACAGACACACAAAAAAAACACATCATAGTAAAACCAATACCTACTCAGCTTCGCATCGAAACTAAAAATGATTAATTTCTTAGATAAATGTAATTTTATTAATAATGCATACTAAAAAAATCATTTAAATAATTAATTAATATTCTTAATTGATATATTTATATTAGAAAAATTTCGTGATACCATATAATAATAAACTTTTTAATTAATTTCAAGATAAAATAAGATTTAGGTTACACCACTAAAGGGTTTTCAAATTTATTTTTTATTTATATACATTTTTATTTGAATTATATTTAACAAAAATGTGAAATTACAAAAATAGTTTAGATAGAAAAAATAGAAGTAGTTAATAAATGAACAGTTAATATTTGAGAAAAAAATTTAATTACTGTAGATGAATTTAATTTTTCTTCGTCTTTTTGTGGCACCGCTAATGAAGTGATGAACAAATGACAAATGGTAAATGCTGTTATTTGAATATGCATTTTCAAAATTTTTAAATTGAATATCTTATGAACTGGTACGAAATAACAATTAAAACAAATTTTTAAATGAAATTATTTTACATATTTTATATTATATATAATCTAAAGAAACTTCGTTTTCTAAAATAATATATTTTTAAGGTGAATACTAATATTTACTTAATGTCGATTACATAGCAAGCAAAACAACATCAGTATTAGTCATATTTTCATGATTTTTTTTTTTTTTTGAAAAATGTATACTCATTACTTATTACACATATTAGTTTAATAAGAATACAATTTTATGGTAAGTTTACCATGTTAACGCTCAAAAACAGTGTCAAATGCTAAACCGATTAACAAAAAAACATTACTTCTGTAAAATGTCACGAGTTTTTGTTACATAACTGACAATACTCAGCATATACAGTTTTGGTTTTAATATTTTTACATGTTTTGAAGAAACTTCTGAGTCTTTAAAACATATATTAAATTAAAGTTATTTTTTTATACAATAATATTAAAAAATAAAAAACCTAGTACAAGTGGATCGTGGCACAGTGGTGACGTGACATAGTTGGGTCTAGACGCTTCAATGCAAATCTGTATATTTGTTTGTTTAATTTTAAAAAATTGGTGGATTATTCCAAAAGCTACATGATCTCCTATTTCCTTATTTATATCCTGATTACAAGTTTTATGATTTATAAGTGTAATATATAAATAAATATACACACACACAAACATATATATATATATATATATATATATATAAAGGGAAACAGTCCAATTTAAAAAAAAGTATGTCGAATGTATAATAAAATCGAGAATTTTCATACAAAAATAGAATTTGGTAGCCATTTTCACCGTGAAGACAAAATGAAGTCCAAAATATTTTTATTCCATGATAAGGTATATTACATTAGCTTTAATTTAAGATATATATAAAAGTGTCAGACTTTCCGGAACATTTTCAAAAGTTAAGTTGAAAAAGTTAATTATTTGTGAAAAAGTTGTCATTTTAAATCCCCCCTATGGACAAGTAAAGACATCATGTATCTATAAAAGAAAAATTTATATATGTGTGAAAATTCTCGATTTTATATTTTACTTTTTTATCTTAATTAATACATTTTTTTTACGAGAAATAATGTTTATATCTCTCTTCCATTCGACATATTTTATCTCAATCAGGAAATAGTATATCATGTAGCTTTTGGAATAATCCACCAATTTTTTAAAATTAAACACTATCTAAAGATTTGCATCGAAGCGTTTAGACCCAACTATGTCACGTCACCACTGTGCCACGATCCACTTGTACTAGGTTTTTTATTTTTTAATATTATTGTATAAAAAAATAACTTTAATTTAATATATGTTTTAAAGACTCAGAAGTTTCTTCAAAACATGTAAAAATATTAAAACCAAAACTGTATATGCTGAGTATTGTCAGTTATGTAACAAAAACTCGTGACATTTTACAGAAGTAATGTTTTTTTGTTAATCGGTTTAGCATTTGACACTGTTTTTGAGCGTTAACATGGTAAACTTACCATAAAATTGTATTCTTATTAAACTAATATGTGTAATAAGTAATGAGTATACATTTTTCAAAAAAAAAAAAAAATCATGAAAATATGACTAATACTGATGTTGTTTTGCTTGCTATGTAATCGACATTAAGTAAATATTAGTATTCACCTTAAAAATATATTATTTTAGAAAACGAAGTTTCTTTAGATTATATATAATATAAAATATGTAAAATAATTTCATTTAAAAATTTGTTTTAATTGTTATTTCGTACCAGTTCATAAGATATTCAATTTAAAAATTTTGAAAATGCATATTCAAATAACAGCATTTACCATTTGTCATTTGTTCATCACTTCATTAGCGGTGCCACAAAAAGACGAAGAAAAATTAAATTCATCTACAGTAATTAAATTTTTTTCTCAAATATTAACTGTTCATTTATTAACTACTTCTATTTTTTCTATCTAAACTATTTTTGTAATTTCACATTTTTGTTAAATATAATTCAAATAAAAATGTATATAAATAAAAAATAAATTTGAAAACCCTTTAGTGGTGTAACCTAAATCTTATTTTATCTTGAAATTAATTAAAAAGTTTATTATTATATGGTATCACGAAATTTTTCTAATATAAATATATCAATTAAGAATATTAATTAATTATTTAAATGATTTTTTTAGTATGCATTATTAATAAAATTACATTTATCTAAGAAATTAATCATTTTTAGTTTCGATGCGAAGCTGAGTAGGTATTGGTTTTACTATGATGTGTTTTTTTTGTGTGTCTGTTATCACTTTTTCTCAGCTATCGCTGAATGGATATCTTTCAACGATACGTCAAAAAATAACAAATCGTATCTATTCGAAGATATTACCCTACAAAAAATTACAAATTTAAAAATCGCTAATTTTTTCAATTTTTTTTACTTAAAATTGCCATATCTTTTTTAAAAATAACCAAATCAATATAATTTTTTTTATAGATGCTTGAAGTCTTTACCTATCATTTGGTATATTTTTTTATTAATCTGACCCTTTACCTGCCCACAGGGAGGATTTAAAATGACAACTTTTTCACAAAAAATCAACTTTTTCAACTTGACTTTTGAAAATGTTCCTGAAAGTCTGACACTTTTATATATATATCTTAAATTGAAGCTAATGTAATATACATTATCATGAAAAAAAAATTGACTTCTGGACTTATCTTCGTGGTGAAAATGTCTACCAAATGCTATTTTTGTGTGAAAATTCCCGATTTTGTATTTTATTTTATTATAAAATACCTTAAAAAAGGTATTAATTCTCATTTAGATTCAATGACTTCAATGAATATCGAGGACCCCATCATTATAGTATCCCCTCGTTTGATGAAATTTCTTATTCTTATTAAAACTATCGTATTATGTGATTTTTGTTTTTTTGTAGCTCTCATTTATTTTCTCATGTCAGACTTTCCGGAACATTTTCAAAAGTTAAGTTGAAAAAGTTAATTATTTGTGAAAAAGTTGTCATTTTAAATCCCCCCTATGGACAAGTAAAGACATCATGTATCTATAAAAGAAAAATTTATATATGTGTGAAAATTCTCGATTTTATATTTTACTTTTTTATCTTAATTAATACATTTTTTTTACGAGAAATAATGTGTTATATCTCTCTTCCATTCGACATATTTTATCTCAATCAGGAAATAGTATATCATGTAGCTTTTTGTATAATTCACTATTTTTTTAAAATTAAACACTATCTAAAGATTTGCATCGAAGCCTTTTTTATGATAGTGATTTTAATCACTGTCAGGTATCATTATACTTGACCCAACTATGCACGTCACCACTGTGCCACGACCCACCTGTGCTGGTTTTTTTTAACTTGTAATAACACAATGCCGATCATATAATTTCATAAATTAATTAATGTTTTAAATATTTCGTGAAAATTTTGATCACATTTTGCGAATATCAGAACTTGTTCACATTTTTATGTTTTTTCATGTTAATTTAGTAGATATTTTGCTTTCTTATTCTTCGGGACCAAATCTTGGACAAAGTAGTGAGATATTTTTAACTCTAAATATTTAGTCATTAAGTAATACTATTTTATTTTCTATTTTAATATCATAAATATATCCATTTACTACAAAATATGTTTTTACGAAAGCTTAAACATTAAAAACTTAAGTAAATTTTAAGGAAAAATTCATAAAAATAAAAATATATATGATAATTTTCATTTTTACTGTTTGTTAGCATACAGTTTAAATAGTTTGGTACATTTAGTATACATACAAACTGTTGCTGTTAACCTTGCCCTCTCCTACAATATATTTTGATGTGTGTATTTACCTTTTCCTTGTCGATTTAATTAAAAAATTTTAAAATTTTGCTAAAATATAGCAGTTTTTGTTTTGAAATTTTTTTGTGTACACTGTCAGATATTGATCTGTCGGATCCTGACAATACCGAGTCTCGATTGTACTGAATTATCGGTGACATATTCCAATCCACACGGAATATTTACGTCTCTAACTATTTAAATGAACTCGATTACATTCATTACCTTTGTGTAATATTTCACAACATTTCACACACGATTTTATAACGAAAGAACGGTAGCGTAAGGCACTCTAAGCTCCACGACGCAGACGAATAATAGTTTCATCAGTTAATGACTCAATTTGAGTACGATTGTAATACATATGAGATACATGTACGGTGCGTGATATGTAATATGCACAGATAAATTATATGATCACACAATTGAATTAGTCTAATATAAAATTACCACGATAGGTATGTTCAGTACAGATTGTAATAACACTACTGTAATTTGTCTTGGATACTTGTACCAAACTTTTGAACAATTAAAATAATTAAGTTTGCATTCTTGTCAAATGCAGCTTAATTTTTAAACAAGCAATAAAAAAACTTTTTCTAGTAAACGGTTAAAACTAATGTCTGGGTATCAATGGTTTAATTCTATTATCGCCTCAATGTTTTATCGATTAAGAAGTTATATTATATATATAATATTAAAGCAAAAAATTACTTTTGATAAAATATTATTAAATAACATGAAATTCTGATAAAATACTTTTTTCATAATGTCGTAATTATTTATTATAATTTTAAATATATAATTCACTAAGAGTAACGATACAATTTTGTCTATGACAATTTTAATCTTGTTTATTATTTTTTATACAAAAAATAAAAATAACTCTGTGTATAGACTTAGAGTATAAATTAATATGTGATTTTACCACTCAAGATTTTTATCGCTAGTGAATTTAATGTTTAGATAATCAGATGATTACGAGCTGTTAATTTTAGAGTAGTATAGCGATGATTCTTACCTATGGAGAGTTAGCTTCTAAACAACATTAAGCGAATAATATACAAAAAACAGAATATTTTTATAGTGTCCTATCAACTGTTAATAGATATGTTTGCACTGGGGGTTAGGTTGAGTTTAAGAAAAGGTTTTTTATTATAATTACCAACAAATTTAAACGTTATAAAGTACTATAGCGATATTT